TGGAGGGACAGTCTAGCTCTCTCGCAGATCATTTTCAGAATTTGCCGGGATAATGTTTTCGTGTAATTTTCACAGTCAGCGTGCTGCTTCCCCTCCCAAATCCTTCTGGAATTTAACTGGAATTAATTTAATTGTTGTGGGTTGACAGCAAAGTTTCCCTATAAAATGCATCATTCACTGGGCATGGTGGTGCACAACTTTAATCCCAGCACAAAGGAGGCAGAGGCAGGTGGATCTCCGTGAGTTCAAGACCAGCTTGGTCTACAGAGTGAGCTCCAGGACAGGAAGGGCTATACAGAGAGACCCTGTCTCAAAAACAATCCAATAACCAAACATGTTTCACGCTTGTCAAGAGCAGGGCCTAGTCCTCCATCTCCCTGTGTTTCTGGGAGGTGTCTCGCATTTTTCCCCAGTGGGTCTGTTCTGGCTAGTTTTATGTCCACTTAACACAAGCTAGAGGCATCTGAAAGGAGGGGAACTCAACTGAGAAAATGTCTCTACGAGATCCATCTGTAGGGTATTTTCTTGATTAGTGGTTGATGGAGGAGGTCCAGACCACTGTGGGTGGGGCCGTCCCTGGGATGGTGGTTCTGGATTCTATAAGAAAGCAGGCTGAGAAAACCAGTAAGATCACCCTCCACAGCCTCTGCATCAGCTCCTGCCTCCAGGTTCCTATCCTGACTTCCCTCAGTGAACTGTCTAGCTGGGAGCGTAAGCCAAATAAACCCTGTTCTCCCCAGTTTGCTTTTGATCATGGGGTTTCATCACAGCAATAGTAACCCTAAGACAGGGTCTTTCTTCATTTTTGTGAAGATATCCAGGATATTTCGTCTCCTTGGGACCATCAAAGACACGTTCTTTCCTTCAGCATGTGTTCAGGGTGGCTGTCCATCGGCTATGGAGTGGCTATGATTTCTATATGGTAATCTCATTCCTCCCCCTCTGTGAACTCCATTTTATTCTCTACCCTCTCCCCTGTAGTGTATGAGAAGGTGGACAGGTGTGTGTGTGTGTGTGTGTGAGTGTGTGTCTCTGTGTGTGAGAGTGTGTGTGTGTGTGTGTGTTGAGGCCAGAGGTTGTCGACTTTTGAATTGCATTCCTCAGGTGCCTGTTGACTTTTTTTTTTTTTATAAACTGGCCTGGAGCCAGTCTGTACAGCCTCGTCTATCCTGGCAGCCAGATGAACCGGGATCCATCTGTCCTTCTTCTCCAGTGCTATATCTAGATGCACATGCCGTCACGCCTGGTTTATTCGTTGGCTTATTTTTTTGTTTGTGTATGTATGCATGTGTACATATGTGTATCCACATGTGCATGTGTGTATATATGTGTGTGTCTGTGCATGTATATATACACATGTGTGCATGTGTATGTGCATGTGTGTGTATACATATATACATGTGTGTGTATGGCCTTTAGACATGAGGAATTGGCTCTCTGGGAAAGACAGCATTTCTATGCAGGAAAGAATGACCCCACCCCAGCAAAGATTTGGGATACTTGGGCTGCCAAGGGGAAAGGAAGTGAGGAGGGTCCCAGCTGAAGGGTGTGGGCCACAAGAACACCAGGCACCTATTGGGGCCCAGGAACCTGGTGAGTCTAGTCAGAGGACCAGGGCCACCCATGCCCTGTGTTGGCCCCTCCCTGGCCTTCCATCCCATCAGAAGGGCCTGGGATCTTCCTTGATTAACTGCAGTGTCTTGTCCCAGTCAGATATTCTGTTTGGGAGGTGACAGAGCCAGGTCTCCTCTGAAAGCAGGTGGTGGTATGGAGGACAGGTTCCAGTGACCACAGGCCTCCTTGGGGGACCCTGTGTGTTCTTTATGATTTATTTATTCTTGCATTCAGAAGACCTCACTAAGTTTCAACTTGTGTTGAATGCATTCTCCGTTCTGGGCTCAGCCTGTTTATTTTCCTGTCCAAGAGTTCACAGCTCTGAATGCCAGAGAAGATATGCCCGCCACACCATCTGTCTCCAGACTGCCTGGCTTCACACCCATGATCACCACTCCTCACTGTGGCCCTCCGTGTGGCGGTCGGCCTTCCCCAGGGCTCACTGTCCTCTCCAGATGGAGTGGGCACCCTCTCATGCCTGGCGGGAACCGGTGCTCTGTGCTGGGTACAGCTCTCAGGGTGGCGCCTGCACAGCCTGAGCTGCGCAAGGCCTTCACTGCTGAAAGCCCTGGACGCAGTTACAGTTGCAACACTGCCGAGCTGGCTCAGGCCACTGGGGCTGCGTGGAGCCATCGTTTCTCTGGGTAACTCCTCATTTTTGCAAAGAGTGGAGGGCGGTGAAGTCCTGAAGAAATTGTGGGCTGCAGCCTGAGCTTGGGCACATTCATCTGACGGAAAACAAAATAGACAGCATGGCAAAATCACCAACCTGGCACCTGGGTGAGCATGCCCTTCCTGCCAGGAGTCCAGCACTGCCAGTGTTACAATGGCTGGCATGCCTTGTAGCCCGCTCTGCAAATAAATGCTGCATGATGGGAAATCTGGATAGAGCAGCCTGGAGATGGGGTTGGGGGTTGGTGGAGCGGGAGTCCTGTACAGGCTCCTGGAGATGGGGGGGACTTGGCAGGAGCAGGGGTCATGTCTGGTTCCTGGAGATGTGGAGGGGGTGGGGTTGGCAGGATCAGGTGTCCTGTACAGGCTCCTGGAGATATGGGAAGAGCAGGATCAGGGGTTCTGTGCTGGCTCATGGAGATATGGGGGGCCGAAGCAGCAGTCTTGTGCTGACGCCTGGAGGTGTGGGGGGAGCAGGCTGTTGGGAGCAGTGAGCCCCCAGATCATGAATTTCTTGTAAACAACTTGTTTTCCCCTAAGCTGAGTGCCTACAGCTGCTCTGAGCACGAGACCCTCGGGAGTTCCTGATGGCAGGAGAGTGGTTTCTGGTGCGTTTGGCTGGGGCGTGGCTATCTCTATATAAGCTGCCCCTGAACACAATAAAGGGGCATTCTTGGAGCAGTTTGGCATCAAGGATGATCTGTGTCTCTGTCTGTCTCTGTGAGTCTTTGTGTGGTTTCAGTCTCCAGCCCCTTGCCTGGTTCATGAACTGCATGGCGGCGCACAGAGTGCAGACGGGCATCGTGTGCCGCAGCAGGGGTCATGTCTGGCTCCTGGAGATGGGGGGCGGACTTGGCAGGAGCAGCGGTCCTGTGCTGGCTCCTGGAGATGGGGGGGGGGCGGACTTGGCAGGAGCAGCGGTCCTGTGCTGGCTCCTGGAGGCATGGTCAGATGTGGGAGGATGGGGTTGGGGTTGGCGGGAGCAGCAGTCCTGAGCTGACTCTCGCTGTGTGTCCAGGGCTGAGCACGGGGCAGAGCAGGTTTTCTAGGGCTTCCTCAGCATTGGGGGAGTCTGGGAGCCGGGATTCTAGACAACAGAACTCTCAACGACCGTAATCCCAAAGCATATGTCCTGCTTTAAGTCTTTCCTCTGCCAATGTAGCTCTCCACATGGCCACGTGGAGTATTGACACCCCCTTTAACTGTTTATTCCAGGGTGAGATGCATAGAACTCAGAGTCTTGACTAAGACTGGATCCATTAGATCCTATGCACCTGGTAGCAACAAAGATGGCGGGGGCTCCTCACCAGCTGGGGTTTCTCTTGAAACATAACACGGTACTAGGATGTGGGTGGGAACAGTTCGCTTGGGTGTGTTCCCAGGAAGTCTGCTGCGTAATGGGGAAGGGGGCACAGAGGAAGAAAAGCCCACAGAAGGTGTTGTCCCGAGAATGCTGTGCTATGGGTGAGTGAGACCCAACCCCAACAAGGGTCCTAGGAAGCACAGCGGCCCGCCAAGGACGGAGTGTCTGCACACCAGCTCTTGACAGGCCTCTGTGTGGAAGGAGCATTAATTGTATATTACTTCCAGTCTGCCATATCTGAACCCGGGAATGGGATGATGGGAACCTTTACAGGTGAACCTGGGCTCACGAGTTGTCAGGTTGTTGTCGAGAGCATCTGCTAAAGCCTTAGCAACTACTACACACCTCAGACCTGGAAGGGAGGAACCTCAGGGAGCACTGCGCTGAGAAAAGACAAGGGCTCAACTTGACTTCAGCAAGGAAGGAAAGAACTTCAGAGAACAAAAGTGAAGCTCCTGGGAGGCTGGAGAATCAGGAAGGAGGGGGAGAGCCTGGGGAATCAGGGAGGAGGGAGGAGGAAGAGGGGAGCCTGGGAAATCAGGGAGGAGGGAGAGGGGAGCCTGGGAAATCGGGGAGGAGGAAAAAGGGAGCATGGAGAATCAGGGAGGAGGGAGGGGGAGCTGGGGAATCAGGGAGGAGGGAGAGGGGAGCTGTGGTCAGGGAAGCCTGGGTCCATCTGCACTGTGTGACTGATAGCCTAGGGGCGATTGGTGAGGCCAGCAGAGACAACTGAGCAGGGAAGGAGACTCTCAAGAAGGGAGTCTGGGTGCTTCTGTTCAGTGTGCATGCCCAAATAGCCCACGCCCTCTCTGGGATACTGCCCTGCCTCCTTGAAGAGTAGCAAGAGTGAGCCACTCACAGAGATCAAGGAATCCCCACCATCGCTCGGATTGATTGTTTTGGTCTTAGTCATTAATTAAGGCTGAAGGAGGAGAAGGCACCAGAGAATCCAGGACCATCACCCTGTGACTGTGGATGCAGCAGCAAGCACAGGAGGTGGCCACAGGTGTATGGCTATGACCTGTCGTCGCTGCTCAGGCAGGCAGGCTAGGGACCTGTGGAGAAGGCTGGCATGGCAGCCTTCTTAACGGTGCAGAGAGAAGCGGACAGAGAGGCCCTGTGACCCGAGCTCATCTTCAGGATACTGATATGCGCTTCAGACTTAAACAGAAAGAATCAGGGCAGATCTCCCTTCAAGCTGGACACCAGTACAGCACTGACGATCACAGTCGGCCCAGACAGCCCCTGCATACTGTTCTGAGCAGCACCGGACTTATATGGGACCCAGCGGGCCAGGTGGGCTTGATACTGGGTCTGGAGGAGACAGGTACCATGCCAGCCTTCTCCACAGGTCCATGACCGCCTGGATCGCTACTGCTGCGGCTTTGAGCCAGAGCCCTCAGACCCCTGTGTGGAAGAGGGGCTTCGAGAGAAATGTCAGAACCCAGAAGAGCTGCGGCTGGTGCACATCCTGGTACGTTTCTTCTGCATGCACAGTGCCTTGCAGCGTGAGCACTTGGTACGCCTCTCTCCTGCGGAGGATGCTCTTGGTGACCAGACACGGGTTGCCCAGTCTTTGGTCAGCAAACTTTGTCTTAAATAATACTCCTAGGAGCCAAATATATAAGACAGGCCAAATGGATACTGAGAACTCAGCTGAGGTGGGGTGTGTGTGTAAAATCCTGTTTTCACTGCTCCTTAAGACGCTCCGGGGAACTTTGAGGTCCTTTAGAGGCAGAGTTTGATAATTGGGCTCTGAGTGGAAGGAAGAGGAGGCTGAGCTGTCTAGAAATGGCTACGGAAAGTAGCATAGAAGTCTGGAGACTGTGGGAACGGTGTGCAGGCCAGAGGAGATGGCCTCTTCTTGCCAAACACCAGAATTTAAAGGTGTGTATGTGTTTCCATGAGCACATGAATGTGGAGGCCAGAGGCTGACACCTTCTCTTGCTGAACTTGGAGCCAATTCAGTGAGACTGGCCTCTAGCCCTAGGGACCCACCCTCTGTTCCTCAGCGCTGGGGCTGCAGGAACACATAACCTCCCCTGGCTTTTCTTACGAGGTTCTCATGAATGAGTGGAAGCCCATTACTCCCTGAGTCATCTCCCCAGCCCCATACTGCATTTTTTTTTAAGTACTAGAGAATTCTGTCTTGCATGTTTTAGTGTGGAAAGGATTTGAGAGATGCCGAAGAATCACGCCTGTGTGTGATATGGCTTTGTTGTAGAATATTATTTTCAGGTGTGTGACTTTTGTTTCTGCTGCACTTGTTTAACTCTGTGAAGCTGTGGTACTGTGCCTGTCTTAAAACACCTGATGGTCTAATAAAGAGCTGAGCGGCCAATAGTGAGGCAGGAGAGAGAATAGGTGGGGCTGACAGGCAGAGAGGATAAATATGAGGGAAAATATGGGAGAGAAAGCAACTAAAAAGGAGAAAGAGAGAGGAAGGAGGGGCCAGCCACACAGATAGATGGGGAATAGAGAAAGATAAAAGCCCCAAGGTCAAAGTAGCTGGGATAATTTAAGAAAAGCTGGCAAGAAACAAGCTAAGATCGGGCACTCATAACTAAGAATAAACCTCCATATGGGATTTATTTAAGAGCTAGGTCCCCCCCCCCCAAAAAATCAAAAGACTAAAGAGCCAAAAGAGTAAAACACCACACAGCATGGTATGAAGCTTCAGACCTAAGGAATATACCTTCTTTCTTTTGTGCCTGCCGGTTTAGTGCCCCCCCCCATGCTCCTGACCCCACTATACCAGGAACCCACCCCCTTGCCTTGCAATTTAGAAGGTGGAGTTACAGCTCACTGCTATGGGTTCAGGTCTGAGTTTGCCCCAGTTGCTTATTAGCTGTGTGACCTTGTGTAAATTGCTTAACCATTAAGCCTTATGCCTCCTAAGGCTACTGGGAGGACCCACAGAGATGGCACCCAGTGCTGGTGTAGAATGAGCCCTTGGCCATGGGACCACGTGAATACATGGGGGCATTGAGGCACAGACAGCTGAGAATGCCCTTGAAATGGACAGAGTGGGACCACTTACACTCTGCCCTTACCAATGGCTGCCCCTATTCATCTTCTTCCCCTGAGGTCCGGAGCAGTGATCCATCTCGTCTGGTGTTCATAGACAATGCTGGGAATCTCCAGCAACCTGAGGACAAGCTGAACTTTCGGCTGCTGGAAGGCATAGATGGGTGAGGATCCCCGGCATTGGCAGAGTTTGGGGGGATAAGGCTTGAGGGTGCTCTGTAGACTACGGAACGGTCAACTAAATCTCCTCAGAGGGCTAAAGTCCATCAGATCCAAGTTGGACCTGGGTCTGCAGAGACTGAAGAGGACTGAGAGGGGCCACAGGAATGGGGTCTGTCCCCCACATCCAGAGGGCTTCTGCTCCTGCACAAGACCAGCTGCCCTCCCTCAGTTTGTGAAGGCTAGCTCATCCTGGACCTAGGTGAAAGAGCTAGCCTGGGGACCCGCTCTTGTCCACTCTCAGTAGGCAGCTCAGTCTTCTCTGGGCCTTTTGGGGCCCTGAGGTAGATTTGTTCTCCAGGCTTCACCGTCGGATGGGGCCCATCCGAGAGCAGTACCGTCTGCTCTCAGGACACAGCAGCTCAGACTCCTCTGACAAGGGACTAGCAGGCACAGACCTGGCATTTCCCTGGCTGGCTGTGCTGGGTTCCCCGGGTTGGGGGAGTTCAGGGCTCACACTTCGTGGAGACTCTGAGCTCACTTGTGCCTTTCCTTCCCTGCTTTGGCCCCAGGTTTCCTGAGTCCATTGTGAAGGTTCTTGCATCAGGGTGTCTACAGAACCTGCTGCTCAAGTCACTGCAGATGGACCAGGTGTTCTGGGAGAGCCAAGGCGGAGCCAGAGGTCTGAAGCACGCCCTTGAGACACTGGAGAGGCGAGGACAGGTCCTGCTGAGACACATTCAGAGGCACAACCTCACGCTGTTTGGGTACAAGGACCTGTGAGTCCACCTCTGTCTGGGCAGAGCACACCCTGCTGGAAGACTTCCCATGATGTAAGCCTGAGCTGGTGAGTGTGCCTCCCATTGGCAGTATTTCCTTGACACAGTTGGCCATCCCAGGCAAATGGGGAAAGTCAGACGCTGGAGGAACCTATGGTGCCATGGGAGGGACGGCTCACCTGCTGGGATGGACTGGCGCCTTCAGCAGCGCATTCCTGTCTGCATTCCCAGCTCTGGCTATTTACTCCAATGCAGCAATAAACATGTTTAAGGATGTTCTGTGAACTATTCCCTGCACGTGTACATGCAGTACTGTGTGTGTGCATGCGTGCGGAGGTGTGTAAGTAATGAACCTGGAACGTCATGCATACTAGGCAAGTATTCTACCAACTGAACTATATGTCCAACCACAGAAGCCTATTTTAAGATTCATTTTTTTAAAATTTATTTTTAAGTGCATGGGTGTCTTGCCTGCCTAAATATTTGTGCCCCATGTGCGTACCTGGTGACTGCAGAGGCCAAAGAGGGTGCCAGACCCCTGGGACTTACAGACAATTATGGACTGCCATGTGGGTGGTGAGAATTGAACCTGGGTCCTCTGGAAGAGCAACCAGTGTTCTTAGTAACTGAGCCATCTCTCCAGCCCCTAATTTTTATTTGTGTGTGAGTGTGTGTGTGCATGCCACATGTGTGCAGGTGCGAACTGGAGTTACAGGGGATTGTGAGCTGCCTGGTACGGGTGCTGGGAACTGAACTCTGTAATCCTCCACAAGAGTAACAAATGCTCTTAACCATTGAGCCATCTTTCCAGTGGCAACGGGGAGGAGGCTGCTATAAAAACCGAATTTCCCTTCTTATTGTAGGAATGATCATCTCCACGTTAGGTTAGCCGGCTTCCCCGTGTGAGACATTTGCCCTTCCTTAGTAGCACGCTGGAGTTTTGACTCTGAGCTACATATATTCAGCCCCTGCTGTTACACTCATCTGATTCCTCTGTCTGCCATCTATGGCTTGACTCTGTCTTCTGCAAAGTCGGAAACTAATCCTATGCAGTTAAATTGGTTCATTTTTGCCCGTCAGTCTCCCAGGGTTGCTGCCTTCTCAGGCTGTTGCTCCTTCAGATCACTGAGATATCAGCTGTGTCCTTCTCCTTCACTATTTGTATGACATTTGCATGTGAGAGTGGTTTGGTGGGAGGTGTAACACAAGTTTCCTTGCCCCGGATTCTGTTCAGGAGTATTCCATTCCCACTGATCTGAAGGCACACCCTTATCAGATAAGCTTCCAGGAACACAGAGGCTCACTCAGGAACTGTACTATATTCTGCTGATAGGGTTTCTCAACTCCCCTCTTCAAAAAGACACTGTTCTAATCAAAGTTACTTTATTCTGTCTGGTAGCACAAGTATCCACTTAAATATTTATTTTATGTGTGTGTTCTGTCTGCATGTATGTCTGTGTACCACAAGGCATGCAATACCCACAGAAGCCAGGAGAGGTCACTGCATCCTCTGGAACTGGAGTTACAGATACCTGAGCTGCCTCAGGAGTGCTGGTAACTAAAGTTGGGTCCTCTGGGAGAGCAGCTGGTGCTTTTACTGCTGAGAAATATTTCTAGCCCTTCAGATAAATATTTGTATGAGTCTTTAAGGGGAAAATCAAATTTTCAATTTTATTTTTAATTCCTCCTCATTTATGGTGGTGTGTGACCTTCATTGTTTTTAGGGGAAGAGGGTTGAGTGACAGCTACAGCAATGTCTATATCTTACTCCTGACTTTAATGAGAGCATGCCTATGTCTCCCTGTTGACTGCAATCAGTGAGAGTGCATGACCACGTACGACCCAGGTCAAAGGTGACTTTATGGATATCCCCCATGGATGCGCTCCGCTTCATGGCCTCTGTGCGAGACACTGCCCGAGCAAGTGGGCACGTGTTCTCTTCACAGCCCTGTTCCTACCCACTGTGTCATCTCCCTTGACAATCAAAATGAAAGCGCTGGGTACTCACTGCCAACTTTGCTTCCTGATGTCCAAGACTTGCCAAGGCTATCTCCCTCTGAGCTGTCAGTTCAAGGTGACTCCTAAGGCCACCCCCAAATACAGGCAAATGCCCCTGTGTTAGTTTACCACCACTGCTAGATGATAAACCCCTACAGCTGAAGACACCAAACATCTGTCCCAGGACAGAGACATCAAGTTGGAACTGGAAGCTTCCTCCCCGCTCACCAACCCTCATATTATTATAAAGTGTTATTCCTCCCCCAGAACCCTGCGAAACAACAGTCTTACTTGGCGGCAGCCTCTATGTGCAACACCAACCAGCCAGGCAAGATGCGCCTACTAACACGATAGTGTCAGGTCTGTCACGGGGCAACAGCTGCTCTCTGATTGGCTCTGAGGCCCACTCCACAGGTTGGGCAGTAAAAATAACCTGTTAGAAGCCTGTGGTCGGATAGGTCATGGGCTCCAATGGGGAAGCTACTGCTGTTGTTTCATGGATGTAACACCATGAAACTGTCGTCTTTCACGCCTGTGGATCAGGGCTGCCGTCAGCTTTGGGAGGGCCTCCTTTTGCGGTGGCCAGCGGTACCTGGAGACTGATGCCTGGTTAAAATGCTGGGGATAAGCGACTGTCAGATGCCCATCCGTGGGGCATCAACCTCAGTCTCTCCAGGGAACACCATGAAAGTGGCAATAATGACACAGGGGACGTGGGACACTGACTTCTGGGCGTTCTTGACCTCACAGCAGCTGCAGCGACCAACTCAAGATGGGGTCTAGCTCTATCCCATCATGGAAGTGGGATGAGCTCATGGGGCCTCCCCCTTCACTGAGGATTATAGTTAGTGGATGAAGGGAGACATTTTCTTCAGTTGGGTGGTCGATGGCAAGGCCTGTGCAAACCAAACCCTCTTCTGTGTGCTTCTAGGAAACCTGTCTAACAAAACTCATTGGCTCAAATACACAAAAGGACATGAAAATAGGGGTTGGGCTGGATAGGAAAGGGTCAGGAGGAAGGGGAACAGGAAAGTCTAACAGGGTGAATGGATCGGAATGTACCGTATATATGTATGAAAATGTCATATAAAACCCATTACGAGGTATAACTCATACGCTAATATGAATTAAAGACTTGACCATAGATGTTCATTTAATGACTGGCCCAAACACACCTGTCACTCGGCTACAGGTGAAATTCAGAGACCATCTGCCTAGCCCATCAACCACACGACCACCTTTCTAGAAGCCAGGACCTGTACCATGGCCACAGCAGGAGACAGCGGATTAGCAGAGCTGATCACTGGGACCTACGGGTGCCTCCTCCTCACCACAAAGGAATTCCCCTCAGTGGCAGAAGGGGAGGGCACCACCTATTAGTAAGCAGCCCCTGGGAGAAGGCCTAGCCCAGGCCCACTCAATAAATAGGTAAGTCATCACCACGGTTGCCAGCAGGGCTGTGGACCTGGGAGAGCTGACCGCCAAGGCCGTCCTCCTGAGGCCTGGCCGCGGCCTACTGGCTACGTGTTGCACACCAGTACATCTGCGAAAGGTCCCAGGAGGCTCCTGTTAAAGATGCAGCGGACCCACACCAGGTAGGTGGTGAACGGTTTGATGTTCTCTGTGAAGGTGTGGTTCTGCAGGGTCAGCATGTAGGGCGTGTAAGTGTTCTCACCTTGCTCCTGCAGCCACACCTCATACCTCACCTCCTTCACTTTAAGGAACCTGAGGTTCCAGGGCATCTGCCAGGACACAGACAGGTGGGCCTCGGTGGCGCCCTGCACAGACGCCTGGCATCGAGCCTCCTGCACCTTGCCTGGGTACAGGCTGAATGCCCACTTCTGCCTCCGCGGTCCCGGCCGGCCCTTCACCACACGCTGAATGGATTGCATGAGGGACGGGATGTCCACTCTGGTGTCCTGGTAGATTCGGAAGAGCCACTCTGGGTTCCGGCAACAGAGATGCCGGGGGACCTCTCGGCTCTGGAGGATGCGGGCCTGCTCAGCCCGGTCCAGGTGGGTGATGCCCCCTTGGTCCCAGGGCCGCTCGGGGTGCGTGACTGTATTCTCCCGTATCATGTTTCTCCAGGCTACATACTGCAGGTCCATGCCAGGCAGGGTGGCCAGCGTCTTGTAGGGGGTGTAGTGGTCAGGATTGACCGCATAGGGGAAGAGCTCAACCACGGTGGACCCACGGGGCAGGAAGAGGGCCGTGACCAGCTGGGCGCCGTGCATGCTGACCAGCATGGAGGCGTTGCTGACCAGCCGCACCACGTCTGCAAAGCTGTGGTCCTCCAGCGACACCGTCACCGTCTTCATCTGGAACTCTTGTGCTAGCTCCAGCAACAGCTCCGCCTCGTTCAGGATGAGTCTGTTCTGGGTGCGACTGAAGACCAGAATGTATTCCTCGCCCAGCGGCGCCCCCGTGTGGCTCACGTTCAGCTTTTCGGTCATGAACCGCGTGAACTGCCGGATCTCGTGGCCAGAGACGAGGATGTTAGCCTTTGGGCCTTGGGGCTGGACAAAGCCATACTGGTACCAGGTGGTGACCTTGGACAGGCCCACAAAAGCGTGGGAGAAGCAGAGCAAACGGCCCAGCGACTTGAGCTGCGAGCGTAGCAGCGGCTGCTTGGGGCTAAGGAGTTTGTACAGGTCAAAGTGGGCGCCCTCGCCCCAGCCCTCCATGAAGAAGAGCCGGGCTTCTTGGGCCAGGCCGGGGAACTGCCTCAGCGTATAGAAGAGGGGGAGCAGGTCGTCATGGAAGACGTGCATGAGGTTATCGGGGTTGAAGCGGTTGGTGATGAGGGCCACATCGGGCACAAACACTGGCTTTGGCAAGAAGCGCAGGGCTCCCGCAGGCAGCTCCACAAAGTTGAAGTACTGGGCGTTATGGTCCTCCACGGTGGACAGGTCCAAGAGCGCGGGCTGGAAGCGCCGGGTGCCCAAATTGGGCAGCATCATAGATGAGTTGCCATGGAAAAAGATGAACTCTTCGATCTCATTGGAGTAGCAGAGCCACTTGAAGCGACAGATGCGATCCGTGTGGGTGCGGCCTGTGCACACCATCTGGGTACCACCCTCCATGAGGATCTGCAGGGCCTTTGGGTAGTCAACCCTCATTCCTGAGACCGGGTCCAGGGACTGCTGCCCAAGGGCCAGCTCTTCCTCTAGGGCGGCTGCGTGCTCGCGCAGGCGCACATGCTTCCACAGGACGGCAGCCAGCACGGACACCAGGAGGGCATTGAGCACCGCAGAGAGGTGCATCCTACAGTCACCAGGGGGTCTTAGGGAGATGACGACTGCTGGGCGGTGCCACAGCCAGGTGGGCTTCACGCATCCATCCCTCTGTGTTGGAGGACAAGGAAAAGCCTGTGGAGGGAGACAGAGAGGAGTCAACCCAGCCAGGCACCTCAGCACACGCCCGCCGTGCTTTCCGGCCACAGTGGCTTCAGCAAAGCTCCCTGGTAATGAGTCTCACTAAAAAGAAGTTGTGAGTCAAAGTCACAAGTCCTAGGCTGTTTAAATCTCGTGTGTGTTTTCATGGGCACATGTGTGCTTGGAGACCAGAGGCCAACATCACGTGTCTTTCCTTAACTGCTCTACACCTTGTATTTTTGGGACAGGCTCTGTAGTGAACCCGCTGCTCACTGATTCAGCGAGACTGGCTGGCCAGTGATCTCCGGGATCCTCTGTGTCTCTGTCCCAGTGCCAGCATTTAGAGGTAAGTAGATTACTGAGTCATCTCACCAGCCCCAGGGGCCATTTGTTTAGATGAGTTACCCTTCTGCTCACGCCGGCGTGACTCGGCTGCAGAGCCGGGAGGAGGAAGGCGGCTTTTCAGCAGGAGGAGCAGCCCATGTGTTAAGTAGCATCCTCCCTGTCAGCAGGAGCAGCTGCCAGGAAGGAGCTGCTCTACTTACCATAAACCACCGTGTGGTTTCAACAGCCTCTGAGGATGTCAGAGGAGAACCCTTACAGGCTTGAGCTATGATGGAAGAGCTACCACCACCTGAGCTCTGCAGAACTTCAGCAAGGTTCAGGTTTGGGGCCAACATCTGTCTCCAAACAGAACCCCTTATATTTGGGATGGTATGGTCGTTAGACAGCGCCAGTACTGAGGCACATTCAAGGCCAGGTACATTCCTTCACTTGGTCCGGGTGGCCTTTCTTTTGGGACTCAGGCACTCTAGAAAAAGCACGCATTCGGCAGCTCTGTCGCAGTGGTCACTGCTTGAAACCCTAGTCCTGGCAGCCAAGCGTTTTCTGATATACACAGGAGCCATTTCGTTCAGTTAGGATCCCCGACAGGTGAGGCCCCCAGTGCAGGAAGTGGAAAGGGCTGGGACACCTGATGAAGGGCCACACGAACCATGTGCATTCTGAAGCAGCCCAGGTACACTGCTGCCAAGGCTGGCCAGAGCGAGGCAGCCGCTGTCCCTTCCCATCAATACTACCTGAAACAGGGTTCTAGACCTGAGCGCTGGAATCTTTCCAAAGAAGACAGGCCAGCCAGTGAACATGGCCAGAAGTCACCTGACCGAGGCACCCTAGCCTGGACCTCCAGGTTGTCAGCATAGGGTGCACACCTCCATCTCCGCCCGCTCTTCCTCGGTGTGTGCACACCTCTGAGCCACCTGCTGAGTCTCCTGGGACCCAGACGAGGCAGACACACATGGCTCTCAGGGTGTGGAGAGCTCACCTCTGGAGCCCTGGCTCAGGCCAGTGACATGCTGCCAAGAGGGACCAGTCAGACTGAAGGGAAGCCAGTTCGTGCTCCTACCCAAGGGGCAGGAGGAAAGGGATGTCCCCTGGCTGCCAATGCCAACCACGAGCAACCTGGCTTGAGAGTACAGACAGTATGCTAAAGGTGGCACAGCAGGGGACTCTGGTGATGGTTTCCAAGTCTGCCGTGAGAGATTTCTGCATCTTTGAAGCCAGACTGAGTTGTGGCTCTGGCTTCTCACAGACAAGCACAGGCCAGGAGGGCACAGCTTTCTGAGTGATGTGCTCAGCAGAATGATGCCACATCCATTTCCCTGGGGACCCTCCTAACGTGAATATATGAAACTGTCTCCCTAAGACACCCCCATCTCTCACACACACAGCAAACCAACCACCTAGAGACTCAGCAGCTTGACACGAGTGCCCTCTGCTGGACAGAAGCGGAACTGCGACAGTCTAAATTGAAAGTGGGAGACAAAGGGAGACAGGACTTGGCTGTTTCTAGTTAGATGTGAGCACCCATCCCACGGCCTGCCAACATGGCACTGGTAGAGGGCAAAACAGACACGGAATGTTCCACACAATTCACTGGGCACGTCAGGGTCTCGTGTTACCCTTTGATGACGGACCTGCTGAACCGCGTGGTCTCAAGCATGGGGTGGACTGACTGGGTTTCAGCCAACTTTGTCACTTATAGTCAGGCAACCTGAATCATGGCTGAGCGACAGGAACCTAGTGGCCGGAACCGTGACACCTTGATTAGCAGCCCACGCTTCTCCCTGCTGGAACTGTGGGGAAGCTATGGCTATGTTGGCTTGACCTCTCTGACTGCCTGCCTTCCCTTCCTACTCTCTCTTAGGTGAACTGGGGTGGAGGACGAACAACAGACTTGCTCTTCATCCTTGCTTTAAATATCCTGGGGGTCTTATAGTGAAGCCCCATTTTGTCACCGTGGAGGAGCCAAGGTGAGGGGCAGTCAGTGATCACCACAAAATCCTTCCCGTCTTTCCCATATTCTCCTGCGTCATCCCTCCCCTACCCCAACTTCGCTGTAGGACCCTACTTAAGCCAGCAAGACCAAAAGTTTTGGAAGAATCAGATGGAGGCAGGGGCCACCTGGGAAGCATATTCATATCCATCCATTGTCCCTAAAAACCTATGCTGGCTCTTTAGGACCTGTAGGTGAGCGTGCTGTGAGGACCGAAGCCCCAGAAATGCCCAGAGCCTCCCATCAGATGGGGTCTGGACGGGATGGAGGGGCTGTGATGATGGACAATTCACATCCATCGTGCCATATGGTGCTAGGACCAAATTTGGGTCCTAAGAGCAACAAGTGCTTTTAACCACTGAGCCATCTCTCCAACCCCACCTTATTTTGAGGGGGGTGGGGAATCTCTTAACCTGAAGCTCAGCAATTTGGCTAGCCTGGCTTGGCTGGCCAGCAAGCTCCAGGGATCTTCTTGTGTGGCTCCCATCCCTCGGCCCCAGCACTGGGGTTACGGATGTCATAAGTCACCATGCATGGCTTTTAATGTGGATGCTGAGAATTCAAATTCGGGTTACCTTACTCAAGGGACCCAGACCCCTAGAAATAATGTGGAAAAGACGTTTACCATGGAAGAAAGGCACAACACCAATGGCTTGAGCTGGGTCATTTTCAGTCCCTTTCCCTGTTGTGGGGGACCCAAGCAAGGGGCCTTCTTTCCAGGAGAGGTGAGATGCCCAGGTGAGGCAGAATGCGAGACAGACCGACCCTCCATACAGAAAGGAGTCAGGCTCTTGAGACCCTGTGGGCAACTCAACAGGATCTGGAATCACCATGGAGGCGAAACATACCTGCTGAGGCTGGAACTGTGTCCTCAAGCCTTTCATGTGGGGGCAGGCCCAGCACTGAAGGTGATAACCAGCATGTTGTGCTAGCAACAGAGGGGTGGAGCCGCCACAGTGCTGAGCCGCCGCCACAGTGCTGAGCCAGCCCACAGTGCTGAGCCAGCCCACAGTGCTGAGCCAGCCCACAGTGCTGAGCCGCCACAGTGCTGAGCCGCACGGTTGGGGGTTGTGTGTCGGAGTGAGTGAACCTGACTGTCCACTTCTCTCACAAGTCAGTGTGTGTGTGCGTGCATATATATGTATACGTGTACGCCTAAAGATATGTAATTTTATGTGTTATATTGAGTGTGTGCATTTTATGGAACAGAATCCAAAATCTGAATGCCAGACGGGCAATGAGCTCTGCGTTGGCCAAGTCAGTGCGTGTGTCAGACAAACATGACAAATGACCTCCCTGACCTCCGAGTTCTCCCCAGCCTTAGAGCCCCTGTGACACCCGATGTGACGCAGTGGTCACGGCAAGGCGCATGTGCAGAGGAGCTGGGTACAAGGCGGCCACCACCGCATCCCATTCTCCTCCCTGCAGACATCAGGGAGGTGAGCCGTTGGTAGGGAATGCAATTTTCCGTCAATTTTCCTCTGACGACCCCTCTGCTTAACGGCACCACATGGCCTGGCTTCCCAAGGGGCTAGCCCATAATAGTCCCCAGAGGAGGAGCCAGGTCAGGTGGGTACAGAAGCTCACAGCCTGGGCTGGTTCCTTTTCCTCTTCAAACCTCTTTCTTCATCTAGGGACTTGGGCACTGTCTGTCTGCTGTTACAGTTAGAAACCTTAACGGAAGTGTGGTCGGAAGAATCCAGTTTAGTGGCTCAGCCAGAACAGAGCTTGACAGAGCGAGATTCTGTGTCCACAAAAGCCCTTAAATACAGGCAGGCATACGGATGCTGGCACGTCCAACAGCCCGGCAGTGAGATCTCGTGCTGACAGGACCACCCATCAGTCTGGACGTCAAGCATGGGCAAGGCCCGGCCAGCCCCAGCCCACCCCATGAGTCTTAACGTCTGATATGGAGGAAGCACCCCAGGATTCCTAGTCAGGCCACAAATCACAGATCAGGAGCCAACAGGGAAAGTAAAGTCAGGACAGACCCATGACCTGCTCCAGGGCCTGGGGTGGGGGAGGGGACAGTTAGAGCTCAGTTTGCTGAGAGCTTGGCAGGACCACAGTCGCCATAGGCTGGTGGCTTAAGTAGCAAACTTACCTCCTTACAGTCCTGGAGGCGGAGGTCCTGCACTAGTGATGCTGGGCCCTGGGGAACACAGTTCCGCCTCTCACAGGACTCCTCTGAGTCCCACAGATAAACCGTGACAAGCCCTGATCTGTAATGGTAACTGTACAAACTGAAAACAGGAACAGGGCGATGACCTCCCACCACCTGGCAGACTCGGTGTGTGGCGTTCATAAGCTCTGGTCCAGAGGTGGCAGCCCCAGCACCTGGGCTCCAGCTGTTCACCTGTCGTGCCCCAGGCTAGGCTTGCACAAGATCCAGAGACCCAGTCCAGGAGGGGTGGTGGCAAGGTTTCACACTAACATTACAGCCATCTGACTTTTAGGAGCTGTTCAGATTTGTAGCTGAAATGGTATAATCCTTACTTTGAGACCGAGAAGTGGTTTTGGCCTGGACGCAGCATGTGTTTATCAGCACTGAGCTATGGAAGCTCTGGGTGGCACACGGATGTCCCCGCCGCTCTGAGTGGATAAACTCAAACGTACTCCACAAGGCCGGGCTGCACGACCTCTTCCAACCTCCTCCACC